ATATGAAAAATCTTTAACTATATGAGGACGATGTTCCAGTTTGAAAGGCTTTGCAAAGTCAACTCATTCTTTCTCCAACCGCTCCTTACCTACCTTTCCAAGAGCACATCTATCTCACCTATTTAGAAAAAGTTTTACAACGTCGTCGAGAAGTTTCTCGTCATAATCGGAAGGAATAGAGACGGCCGTTCCTCTTGGAGGAACGACTACATTGTTCAGATATGTTTCTGAATGATATTAGTTGTATAGCGACATTGTGATAATTTTGAAAATCATAAAAACTTACGATCGTACCCAATTCCGACAATTCTATCTATTGAAGACGAATTAGGGCTGGGATCAAGTTTTGGTAGACGGGATGTATCTTTCCTAAATTCCCCTAAGAAGTATGAAAATCGGGTAAAATATAATATTTTGAAGAAAGGGGGATGTATGCTTCGGGCTAATTAGCGAGATTAGAGTCAAGATGTTGCAGGCCAGTTGTGTAAATTAATAACCTATATCGTCATCAAGTCGGTATAGAAAATTTGCAAGCACATGATTTGCAGTGTGATCAAAGTCTCCAAGTCCTATAACGCTCATATCTACGGAGTCACACAAACTGTGGAGATCCGAACGTTACTTACGCGCAATCAAATTATCACATCAAGAATCACAATACAATCCTAAGGTAGGGTTTGTATATTCTCGTACATATTTTTCAAGGATGAGACGGCATTTTACATGAACTTCACCGCCATTTTAGCCTAAGCAATCAAGGATAAATTTGTTTTTAGAAGTTGAGAAACCTTAGCTAACATATGTGTTTGAAAGTGTAAATTAGTACTCGTATAATTTCTACCAAGGATTAAAAAAAGAAGCAAAGGTCAAGAAAACAAAGTGCGACGTACGGCCACTTTTGAACACATATTTTCAAAAATTTCATCCAACTTCTCCGCTACAGTTGGACTAAATCAAAAGGTCCTCTGACATAAATTTCTGCACTTTTTATTTGAATTCAAGGAAAATTGTTTACAACCGCTTTCAGTATTCGTTGTAGTAAAAAAGTTTTCAGGCACTGTATTTTTTTCAGTAAGTATAACTCGGTTCAAATGCTCATGCGTAGAGTGTTCTTAACGCAATGCAGTGAAATATGTTAAATGTCGCAAAGGCCATTGAGGAGAGAGTAGAAAAAAGGGAAATAATTGTCAACGTGAAGTAAGGCGGTTCTCGCAACTTTTTGTAATGAATAAATAACTTTGGTGACTAGGTAAACATTCATTGTCAAAACTT